AAAAAAAAAAAAAAAAAAAAAAAAAAAAAAAAAAAAAAAAAAGAAAGAAAGAAAAGAAAAGAAATGACAGAAAATCATCTAGATGGATAAATATTGTGTAGTACAGAGGTTTTGTCCAGCAGAGGGGGTCCTCCTACAAACATGAAGACGTACATGTATTCACTGCAACAGGATCATCATGACAGTTCATAGTGATTATGATGTGGTTCCAGAAACTTGATTTGCAGGTTCCTCTTCTTAATCATACAGTTTCCTGCAGTGAAAGACAATTAAATGCTTACAAGTTATGATATCTTTTTGCCAGCCACAACCATCGTGTGTACACACTCTGCAGAGAGGAAGCAGTAAGGTTACTGCGTTCCACTAGGATGACGCGTGCCTATTCAGAGGGTGCCTATTCCTCCAACTTTGACTATGAGAGGTATTGAAATATGCTGCTGCAGCATCTGTGCATCCACCATCATGTGGTCTCTTCAGGTTGTCTCTTGGTCCTTTATTTTTCTGTGATCATACATGTGATGACTCAAAATGATATCTTGTCTGATATCAGTTTTTGTTAAGTAGCCATCACAGCTCTGAAGTTGTGTAGACGTAAACAAACTGTACACAACTACAAGTGCCTTTCTATGTTGAGGCTCAGAGCTAATTGTGTTGCTGATGTCTGCTTTGTGTTTACCGGTTGTGGAGTTGAGTTCTGATTAGTACTTGATTGTCCATATTTTGATGTTTGTTTGTTTTTTTACCATTGTACAGTCAAATCTCTAAAAARAAGTTAAATTTGTTCCAGCAGGTGGTTTTTATCTTGAAACTTTGTATAAAGAACAAATATTTAAAAAGAAAATTCAAGTAATTTGTTCCAATACCCCCCCACCCCCCACCTACCAAAGAAACTGCACAAAGGTCAGACTGATGGTCATTATAAGCCCAATCAAAGCATAATTCAAACCTGATAACATTGAAAAGTGAAATATTAACAGAACAAARATAATAAAAGCAGTGAAAACTGTTTCTATAAAACAAGGACATTTTTGTAAAGTTGAAGCTCGCACCAAGATATGATATACACTGCCTGGACAAAGATGAGTTCTACCTGGATTTAACTAAGGTCTATGATGTGGGGTTGCTGCAGATGTTCAGGTCTAGGTTCAGCAACAGTCTGAGCTRAAAGAATGAGGTCAGCTGACTACCTGAATATACTGAATGACCAYGTTATTCCATCAATGGACTGTTTCTTCCCTGATGGCACGGACATATTTCAAGATGACAATGCCAGGTTTCATGGGGCTCTTATTGTGAAAGAGTGGTTCAGGGAGCATGAGACATCATTTTCACACATGGATTGGCTCCACAGAGTCCAGTGAGAATCTTTGGGATGTGCTGGAGAAGGCTTTGTGCAGCGGTCAGACTCTACCATCATCAATGCAAGATCTTGGTGAAAAATTAATGCAACACTGGATGGAAAGAAATCTTGACATTTCAAAAGTTTATTCAAACAATGCCACAGTGAATGTGTGTTGTAATCAAAGCTAAAGGTGGTCCAACAAAATATTAGAGAGTGTGACCATTTTTTTTGGTGGCGACTTCTTTTTTGGCCAGGCAGTATATCGCAGAAGTGAAGGTGTGAAAAAGAACCATCCAAATTAGCAAGCGGGTTCAAGTGGACATCCTGGGAACCATCCAGACCATCAAAAATGGTCAGGCATCGTATTCAACCCTCTCAGACTCTGAGGCCAAAGATGTAAAGCCTCCTCCAAAGAATAAAGACAGAAAGACTTCAGAAGCTCAAAACTGTAAGACTCTGGAGACTTGGGAAATATAGACTCTAGGAATTCGGGAAACTAGTGATATAAAGCTCTTTGGAGACATAAATTTCTCTAGAGACTCCAGGGCTAAAGACCATGACGGCTATTGTCATGGAGCTCTTGATGACCCAAAATCTGGAAACTGGAGGACCTGGACAAGAGGAGATTGAGGCTGGTGTAATAAGAACCCTCGAAAACTGGTGACTGGAGGCCTTCAGGGTTGTGACCGGAGCATAGAATGGAAAACATCTTCTTGTACGCTAAAGGGATAGAAAGTGGCACAGCAGAGCGGCTCATGTGTCGTGGGCAAATTTGTGTGCCATAAATATTTCGTTTATTTGGAGGTCTTAACACAATTTGCCTTATTAATAAACTTAGGTTCAAATAAATCTAGATTTAGGGGTTTGACTGTAGCAATAGTTGTCTGTAAACCGGTGGTGTATTTTTATTAGTGTTCTACTAGAAATTGTTCGTCCTATTGATTCCAGCTTTTGTTTATTCATTGGGTGGCATATTTGATGCACATTGTTCTGGGCTTCACAGTAACTTTGCAATTTCTGTAGCCACCTTTTGGCTTTTTTATTTGGTCAGAACYGGCTGTGTAGGTATTCATAAAAAATCATGTCAATTTCTTGGTGCATAAATGACAAAGAATGTATGACCCATCTCTTCACAGAAATGCTGTGATTGCTTTAAGTCTTCTGTCTCCTGCCAAATGGTTTTCACTCAGGAAGAACATTATACTTTAGTCATTTGTCTCTTCTCCACAAGGAAGATGTGATGAATCTTCAAAAAGTATTGTCTTGGTATATATTTTCACAACTCTAATGAACATATCAGTACAAAAAGGCCACGGTGTAGCTGGGTTCAAAACTTTCTGGTTTGTTTATTTATGAAGATTTTTTTTATCTTTTGTCTTGCTGTAAGAAGTTCTGTGTTACTACAAAGAGTTCATAATATATAATCATCTGACTTTAAACTGTGGAATTCAGCCATACGCCTGCTAATTGATTTCAAGTTAGAGCTGAACATTATTAGAAAAGTATACAATTACAATGACATTTTTATTATTTCAATAACAATATCAGCTGCAGTAAACACATATTTTCCTCACTCCTTTCTTCACAGCCCTATAGCTTCTGACTGACTGWAGACTGTAGGGCAGTATACTTAAAAAATGAAAATGTTTGCATTGGATTTACTTAAACAAATTATGTCGACAGGTTCTACTCAACTGAATTAAGTAAATCTAACACAATTACTTCACATTTACTAGCTTTAGGTTCACTCAGTTCAGCTYAGTAGAACCTGGTGACAATTTATTTAAGTAAATTCAATGCAAATGTTGATTAGTAAACATGTTAATATGTTACTGCCTTGTTCCTGTGATTTATCTTTTACAGTATTGATTTTCAGATTATGATAACTTCTCAATATGAAGGCCTAATCTGAAACATTCATAAATCTAGTACCAGTGTAATCCAATCTTTCTTAGTGAGAGGACATCTTCCAAGTAATAAGTGGAATATATTTTTCATGGTTGAACCATTTTATTGCACCTATGAAATATTTGATTTGTCACATTGTTCATATACTTTTAATTGTTTTACCAACTTAATTATAAAAAAAAAACCTCATGTTGTTCCTCCTGAAAACCTTTTGCATCACTTTTAGGTTATAAAGACATATCTCCTCTTCTGGACAAAGTTTTAATTGTACAAAAAGCAACTGAAACAAAATACTGTTTATACACACACTTGACACCAAAATATATTTTCTGCAAACTGCTAACATTTTTCAACACATGTTCTAACATACAGTTACTGTAATGTTTTATGGTGACTTTTTCTTTATTGACCTTTTTTACAGTTGCACGTGTTAAATCGGCACCACATGCCCAAATACATTCATAACTATTTCATATTCATATCCAAGGTCAATGTTCAACTCTWGTCTTGTGGTTCTTTACACCTGCTTTTTATTGACTTTTATAAACAATATTACTTATAAAGTATTTATATTACTATTTTATGTTGTGGTATTGAAATGCCCTCGACAGTTGTCAGAAAGACTGCAGAACCGGAACACATGTAGACMTTAACACTATTCAAACTAAATATATTTTAATGAACCAGAAGTAGGCATGAATATAAGTAGACCACAATACATCACAAAATACTGTTACTGAGCATGTGCATTAGCAGTCTTGTATAAAATACCTCAAAGTTAAACTTAAGTAAAAGTATATCTTACCATAAAATTACTTTAGAAGAAGTTAAAGTCTCRTCTATGAATATCACTTGAGTAAATGTACTTAAGTATTGCAAATAAAAAGTATTGAGTAAAAGTGACCGGCTAGAATTTCCAAAATTTCTAAATTTCAGAATTTCTAAAAGTCATAATAACTATAATGTTTTATTAAAATTAGAGGTCGACCGATACAACGGTTGGCTGATCTTTTTGGCCAACATTTATTTTTTCCTTGTATCAGCATCAGCCAATACATGCATGCGTTTGCTGATCCTCTAGTGCATTCAGCAGCAGTGTATTGAGATCACTATATGCATTGCCACTCCYTCCCTGGCAGAGAGTGGCTAGTAATGTTGTAAGATTGAATGCCAACAAGGGTAAGTTTTTAACTTTTAATTAATTTTTAACTGTCCAATTAAGCTTTATCTGCCCTTTGAATGTCTGCCMCTGTCTCACTGTAAGTAAATGAAGGAAGAAAAAACATTGTCTTCAAGAAGTGGCCACAAAATAAATAAATAAAATAAAATAAATACACAAGAACTGGCAGCAAATATTGCAGATCAGATAGACTGATGCCAAGATAATCAGTATTGGCATTGGCTTAAAAAACCTGCATCAGTTGAGCTCTAACTAAAAAGGGATCATGWACAAACCAGTAGGGTGTCAAAATGGAAAATACTTATGTACCCCTCATCCACCCACAACCAACTCCAGGATTTACAATTCATCTGGATAGGTTTCATTTTTTACATTTTTTTAACACTAACAAGCCYGAATGAAATAGGAGTAATGACTTTTTACTGCTTGCTTTAAAAAAATGTAAGGAGTAGAATGTACAGATAATTGGGTGAAAATGTAAGGAGTTGATGTAAAAAAGTAGCTGAAAAATATTTACTCAAATAAAGTGCAGATAACCAAAATTTCTACTTAAGTACAGTGATGCTGCATTTGTATTTACTTTACAACTCTGCACATTAGTAACTGTAAAGAGGTCGATTAAAGCAAACTGTCAAGAATTTTCATCATGTAAAATCCATCAAACACTCTGCTCTTAATGAAAAACAAATGGACATCATAATTTATTATTTCATGTTTTATGGTTAGACTAATTTCTAATATTTTCAAGACTTTACGTTGGTGAAGTCTTAACAATGAGTCACTGTGACACTTTGCATGCTTTAATCCATTTTATTTATTAATAGTTCTCATCTTGAAGACTGTCTTTCTTGTGCTTTGTTATACAGTAGGTCCTCATAATGTCTCTACTGAGTTTTTGTCTTTCTTTCTGTATTTCAGTTAATTATTAAACCTCTACACTATCAGTGACTTTACTGGATGAGGAACCTCACCTGATTTCTGACTTTGTTGGTCAAAATTACCCTTCATCCTCACTGTCCCAAAAACAACTACAACTTAGCTGTTTGACACAGAAATAATGAAGCCTAATTATAACCAATAAAACCAATTTAATTTCACCTTTTCTCTAACAATTTTCTTCATTTTAAACAAAGTTGTGAATGTTCGGCTTTAAAAATGTTTAATGGAAAAGGCCCTTGTTTTTGTGTTATTTTTGTTGTGCATGAATTTACCACAGGTACATCAAACTACACTAGAGGGGCTGCTGTAGGAATTTTAGGAAAGCCAAAATCTTTACAGAAGGCTGAAGAAAATGTGAATAATAGTTAGTAATTATGGTCCATAAACACGTTCCTCTTGGAGCATCAAGGTCCAGGTGTTTGCTCTCACTTTCCACCCTGCCAGCCTAATGTCGCTGCCCTGCTGGAGTCACACTGAGTGCCTGCRTGTCTCTCAACAACTTCTGTAGGAACTATGGAGCCATGGATAGACACGAGTTTCACAGCAGGTCCCGCTCTGCAGACCAGCGGCCCACTGTAGAGCGCCTCACATCCCGCTCGCGCTCCTCTGAACGCCCCCACGACTCTTCTCTCATGAGGTCGATGCCGTCTCTGCCATCTGGGAGGTCCGCACCCCCTTCACCTGCCATGACGAGGTGTGACCCAGATTGGAGAGGCTAAACAAGCTAACAGCAAATGGGAGTTTTAGTTGTACAGTCATTTTCCTGAGGCTAAGCTGCACTGGAGGGAGAAATAATTCTGGGTGCTGGTTTTAAAAAATCTCTCTTAATGTCAAAAACAACACATGTAGCATTATTTAGATGGAGTTTGTGGCATTTGTTACAACTGTACTGAGTTTTTAAAAATATATATTTGAACACACAGACCCTTGAGCTTATTTACCAGGTTTTATTTTATTTACCTATAAAAACAATCTTGATGCAGTTCTTCTGTTCATGAATGTTTTTCTTTCATAGTTACTTGTTAAGAATATCAGTGTTCTTCTATCATTTATAGTTAAGCCATTATTAAATCAAATTCTTTATGAAAGCAACATCCCAGTAAATTAGAGGTGGAATGGTTCACAAAATTGATGGTTCAGTTACATACTACTTTAATTTGTCTTTTTCATCAAGACTCCAGAAACAACCATACAACTGAAAGTTTTGCATTAAACATGCCATGACAATAGGCTTAGGCTCATTGCAGTATTTTGAAAATGAATTGAGTTTTGCCCTAAATTCAGTACATAAATAGTTATTCACCAGCATAACTAAAATAATGTTTCTTTGGCTTTGAAATGCAATTATTTTTATTTAATACCTTTATTTAAACCAAGCAAATCCCATTGAGATAACAGATCATTTTTAGYCATGGGCCTAATGTCACCCTTTTGAACTGTGCGAAGAAACCAGAGTAGCCAGAAAAAACAGAGGCTTGAACCCAGGACCTTCTTGCTTGGAGGCAACAGAACTACTAAGTTATGCTTCTGATATTGAGTTGTTGCCATTTTAAGACACAGATACTATAAGACGTGTTTTAAACTCAAGACCAGATGACTTCCATCCGGCAAGCCAAAGGGCATGTCTCAAAATAAGCTGCATTAACCATAAACTACATCTCCCATAATGGGAGAGGTCAGAATTCAAAAGGCAGCTCAACAGTGAGTAAAACTCTATTAGCTTTACTTTTAATAGTATTTCTATATTATTTATTTCACATTTAGTCAGTCGTACACAGTACTTTTCAGTGTTTAGAAGAGAATGTGTTAAAACACTGTTTCTATGCATGAAATACCATGTAGAGAGTTATTGTTTGTTAGTGGTGCTCAGCTGTGGTAAAGAGTTCCTTGTTTAGTCGAAATAAAACATGAAATGTCAAAGTTTACAACTGGCCCTTTSAGGGCCACCATAATGCTCATATAGCTCTCTGTGAACATGAGTTTGGTACATGTGACTCAAGACCTGAACATTGTTGTAGTTTAGCCATGGCATGCCAGACAACTTTTTGATTACTGTCTTCAGCAGGAGCATATATTGAATTGCTGGATTCAAAATAATTTCACAACAGACCAAAATGATCCTAATGTTGGTGTATCTTCCAGCTCTGGAACTCTATCTTCATCTTTTGCTATTTTCTTGACTGGCCTGACTGCTGAGCTAAGATCCTTTACTAATTTACTGATGTAAAGGTTTTTTTAGTGTATGCACTGATCAATACACAAACATATTTTTTAAATGAACCATTTTATCCTTAATGTGAATATCAGAATACAATTTTCAACTGCAGAACATTAATGTTTTTACCAGATGAGCAGCTCCTACAGATCTCTGGTCTTAATGTTACAACTGGTTGGTGAATATTTTAGTTGCTTTTTGTTTTTAGCTACTTACCAGCTAGCTAACATTTGCTGTGTGAATATCCCCAAACTTGAGCCACAACTGAAATTTGAATTCAGCCCCAAGAAGTTGTTTCAGCCTACAGAGTTGCTTCACTTCTGCTAAATGCTTGTGCAGCTAAAATGTTTTAAATCAAACTAACAGAACCCAAAGAGACTCTGATGAGTGGAGTTTTACCTCCACTCATCAATGGGCACCCAATGTAATCCTGACTAACCCACAGAGTGAACGTCCCACACCTCAACACACCAGTAAAGTATTTACCCATCACTCCCAGTCCCTGAACCCTGATACCCTGACTGACTTTATCTCACTCCACCTCATCCTATTTATTTCATTACCCCCGTCCCTCACATTGTCCCCTTCCCCGTCCACCTTGCCACTGTTTTTCTGTTTTGTCCCTAAAAACACCGGATTTGCTGTATTTTCTTTGAAACACATCCTGAGCACAAGGATCCTGACATCGGATAGCTTGTTGACTCTGTTTAATTTGGTTTCCACCATACTGCTCATACATTTGTGTGAGTATAGCAGTGATGGGTCAATTTCCTTTTCTTTTGTTGACATTACTAACATCAACTGAAGTTGTTTATCTTGGTTATTCTGTTTTGTTGTTTTGAGTTCAAATGTCTTGGAGACAGTCGGAATGCATGATCGCACTGATCTACCGTTTCTGCATTGAACTCTTTATTTTTTATCCCCTGCAGCTTGATGAGTCGACTGAACATGCAATTCACACCTGCCTTTTTTTTGCAGCTCAGCTCCCTGCAGTTGATGTTGTCCCTCCTTCATTCCCATGCCATGTGCCAAATGTCATTGCTGTGTACGTCACACTGTAAAGTTTTACAGTGATCTCCCATTTGTACAATGGGTTTCACTTAAAACATGATTTTGTCTTTTGAAATAAATGCTAAAGTAATATTACACTTGACTTGTCACACATGTTTTTGGCAACTGCTTTGCTCATAAAAAGACTGTTCTGTGGGTGCAACGTGGCCTGGCTCAGCACCCACCATCAGCATAAGCCTTGCTTTGTGCCTCACATTAGTGTCCGCCACTTTTTGTCATGTAGGGCACATCCTCGTAGTGGATCCGTCCAGACCAGTCCCACCAGTACTCCCATGTCGAGTAGACGAGGGCGACAACTTCCACAGCTTCCACCTGCAGGAAAGGACAGAAGTAAGTCTCCTTTACCTTTTTCTATTCATATAGCATGGTTACCGTCTACAACATGGCTTAAATATTAGTATACTACTGTGAGTTTAAGATCTTTTTACTTGATCAAAGTTTCTGAGTGTCAGGAAGAGTTTTGACTCATGCTTCATATTTGATTGATGAGGAAGCATTATTTGGCGATGGACTTGTTCTTTAGATTGCCTATACATGTGAGGAATTTTGTGTTTGCTTTGCATTCTGAGTTTCTTTGTTTTTCTTCCATCCATAACATCTTGTACTTGGTTTTTTATTATTTTACTCTCAGAAGATGGAGATGAAGAAGCACAGCCATGTGAAGGTTTGTATCTGGTTGTCTGGGTTTAGTTTTTCAGGCAGAGAGTGCTGGTTTAGCTGTTTCTCACTCAGAAGAACAAAACCCAYTCTGCAGTGGCACTTGGCTGTGCTCAGTGGAGACTAAACCTGATGTCTGCACAGTAAAACTGGCCCAGGCTCCAGCTGTGTTTGTGTTGGGATTTTCTGTGTCACAAGGTTTGATTTACATGAAGTTTTGTCTGGAGCTTTTTGGTTCTACTCTTGGTGTGATCTCGTCATCATTTCTCTAGCCACTGGGTCTACTTAAAATTTATTAAAACATTATACAATTTTTTTTGTTCGTATGAAAGCACAAAGTCTGCTGTAGAATTGCAGTGCTTGTGTAATGTTTTTTGTCTTCATATTCACAATTTTTTTTCTTTGCTCTTTATTTTTGCCCCCACATCCTTRTCCTGTATGTGGGCTGTCTTTCTTTCACTTTACCATTGGTGCTTTTGTGTAGCCTTCCTCTATATTTGTGTTGGAATCTATATCATTTTATGTCAGTCTTCTTTCTTTCTTTATTCTTTTTTCCCTTCCTTCATGCAGCATGTGGTTATATTGATCCAATGTGGAGCTGTTGTTCCTACGCACCTTTATATCACTCTGTTTGTATGGTGTTGTTGTGAGAATATGTTTGTGTGTGTGTGTGTGTGTGTGTGTGTGTGTGTGTGTGTGTGTGTGTG